ACGATTAATTAAAATTAATATTAGTTATAAACTTTATCTTAATAATATTAATCTATAAATTAATAAGTATTTTACTATATAAATTAGAATTTAGATATAAACTATAAATATATTTTAATTAATATAAACGTATTAACTTAGATAATTATAAGACTATTAAGAATTATATAAATTAAGAAGAGATATAATAGTTTATAAAATAAACTTATAATATTATTAAATAAATTAAAAGGAACTTAATTTAAATATAAATAATATAAATTAAAGTAGTTAATAAGTACTATTAAAAGCTAAATTTTAAGCTAGGCGATTATATTTTTATTATTTAGAAGGATTAAATTTCGGATAAATTAAGTATTAAACTAAATTATTAAAATATTAAACTATATAAAATTATTAATATAAAGAGATACTTTTATATAGTAAATTTACTATCTAATATAAAGATATCGAATATATTTTACGTGGATAAATTAAGAAAGGTTATTATAAATTTATTTTTAAACTAATAATTAAAATTACCCCTATTAATTAAGATTAACGGGAAATCGGAGTATAAAGTTAATAAGATATTAATTAACTATATTATATAAGGTTAATTATAATATAAAATAAACTAGATAAATTATAATTTTAATAATATATAATATTTAGCTCTAAATTTTATCGAAGCCCTATATAAAATAAAGAAGTTTTATAATAAGAGACTATTAAACGCTAAATCTTTAATTTAATTAAATATATAATTTAAAGTTTATTAGATTAATAATTATAAATTAGAACTATATCTAGATAATAATAAAGTTAAAAAGAAAGGTCTAACTTAAATTTAAAGATATTAAAAGTAAGTATAAATAAAATAAATATTATTATAAAAATTTATAATTAATTAATAATTTCTACTTTTAGAGAAGGGAATAGTATAATAATATTATAGATTATTATTTTCTATTTTCCTTTATTAATAATAGTTATATTAAAGTTCTATTACTATATATTTAATATTAGTAAATTATATAATTATAACTTCTTCTTTTTTTAACTTAATCTTTTTATATTATAGTTAAATTATATTAGTTATAATTTAATTCGATTCTTTATAACTATTATATCGTTATATTTTAATTTATTTAATTTATTATTAAAATTAAAATATTATAAAATTAATAAAAAAATAAAATTTATAAAAAATTTTATATTAATTTAAAAGATAAAATAATATAAAAATATATAAATAATTATATTAACTTTAAAAAATATTATTAAATAATAATAATAATAATTTATAATTTAAAGAAAAAAAATAAAAAAATAAAAAAATAATAAAATTTAATTAAAAATATATATTAAAATTAAAATAATAATAATATTATTATTATTTTAAAAACTATTATAATAATAATATTTAAATTAAATATATTTATAATAATTTAATAAATTAAAATAATAATAATATATAAATTTCTAAAAAAATATTTTAATTATAATAAAATAAATTATTAAAAGATAAATTATAAATTATTAAAAAAAAATAATTAAATTTAAAATAATTTAAAAAAATAAAATTAAGTTAATTATTTTATTAAATAATAATTAAAAATTAGAAAATAATAAATTTTAAATAAATATTTTATATTAAAATAAATAATATTTATAATATTTATAATATTTATAATTATAATAATATAATATAATTATAGTAATTATATTTTAACTATCTTTATTACTAATTACTAAGTATAAAGATTAAGTTAAGGAATAATTATATTATAAACTAAATACTCGCTTATAATAGTCCCGCCTTATTAAGCCTTAGCCCGACTATCTTCCGTTTAACTAATTATAGCCACGAGATCTCTTCCGCGTCCGAGCCGGCTAAGACCTCGTATAAACTCACTAAATATAGGAATAAGACTAGTATCGTGATAAGTCGTTATATTACCTCCCCTCTAATAATAGAAATCGGCCTCGATTTTTATAATAACGTTAGTAGCGTTCTATAACTCGATTTATTATCTATTTATAATATCTTAAAATCTATATAGGCCCCTTCTTTTTAACTATATTATTATCGTCGTGCGGCTCTACTTCTATCTCGAATTTAAAGGCTTAGAGCTATTCTTTAAGTTAGACTAGTGGTCTAGCGTTAACTAGTCTTTAATCGTGAAATTCTTCGAGCTTATACGGTGCTCCGATAAAGTTACGAGCCGGATACTACGTCTTATTAAGGTTATATCCGATTTAACTTACTTTATACTATAACTTACCGTGAGAGATATAGCTTACTAGGATCTTATCTATTTTATATTCGGGCTTACTATCTATTTCGATCGGCGGTAATAGTTCTAGCCGTTATCCGGATAATAGATCTATCGGTGTTTTATAAAGTCTATCTACGTGGAATACGTTTAATATCTTTATATTAATAGATAAGTCGATTATATAAAAGTGTTTCTTTATTTTTATTATTTTATATAGACCTATATTTTAATAGTTTAGTTTAATACTTAATCTATCTAATATCTAATCTTTATATAAGATAAAGATATAGTCTTCTAGTCTAAAATCTAGTTTTCTCTAATACTTATTAACCGACTTTATCTATATTATCTATATTTTTTCTAGGTTATTCCTCGCCTATTTAATAGCGTCGTGGATATATTTCGTGAATAGTTAAGTTTCCTCTCTACTTATCTTTTCTTAGATTATCTTATATATATTAAGCTCTATCTACTTTTACTAATCGAAATATATTCGTGGTTAGTAACTAAATTCTAACTCGTAAGGGGAAATGCTTATCGATTTATAGACTAACGTGGTCTAGATAAAGTCCACTATAGATAATAATTCTAACTAATTACTTTAATAATAGTTTACGAAGAGTTAAAATTATAGGTCTATATACTAATTAATAATCTCTATTCCTCTATTTATTTATAAGTGGTAAGCTATAAATAGCTTCTATTTCACTTTTATTAGTTTATAAAGTTCGTCCGTAAACGCGGATATAAACTATAGGCTATAATCTAATATCGCTATTTCCGATATACTATATATTCGCTATATATATTTATAGTATAGCTTTATAGCTATCTTAACTAAGATATCTTTAATATAAGGAAACGAGATTACTCTCTTTCCTAGTTAATCTACTACTACGAATACTATTTCGAAATCATGTATATCTTTAGGGAACGATTTAAAGTCGAAAGAGATATATTACTAATATCTATCTCCTATCGGTAGTGATTTTAGTAAATTAGGGGTTTTATCTCTTAGTATATACGTTTAGCGATAAGTGTAATAGTTCCGGACGTATCTTTTTACGTCGACTACTAAGTCGGGCTAATAATATCGTGCTTAGATTAACTTTCTTATTTTCTTTATTCCTAGATATCCTATAACTAACGCGTTATATACGTCTTATATTAGATACGTTTTAAGGTTATTTACGTCTAGAACTATAAGCCTACTAAATTTAATAAATAGATTATTTTATAGTTTCTAATATCTTTTCTTAGCTTCGATTTACTTTCGATATATCGATAAAGAGTTATACTTCCTATTTACTTCTAAGATCTAGTCTATTAATAGATATATTACTAATAGTTTCTAGTTCCGACTAAACTTATTTTAAATATACCACTTTAAATTTATAGATATATCCTCTCTTTCTTCCTCTTAAAACCTAACCTTCTTTTCTTCTTTAGTGGTGGGAATTATAGAGTAAATAGGTATTAGCCCCGGTCTAGGGCTAAGGTTAATATACTTCTTTAGTATATTATCTCTCTTTTTTAGAGTTTTAGCTATCTTAAGCCCTAGGTCCTAAGCTTCGACTCCCTCCGTCTCCTATATTAGCGAAGGCTTAGTTATCGCCACCTTAGCTATTATAACCCGGGCCCCGGGTTTTAAGTTTAAGGCGTACTTCTCTACCGTCTTTCTATTATAACGGGAGTCTATACTTATCGAGATAGAACTAGATAAGCCTAGAAACGCGCCTAGCTTCTCACTTAACGTGGTTAACTATAAAGGTAAGTTTAGCAAAGTGATAGGATACGTATAATAAAGGCACTTTAAGTTGACGATATAACTTGCTGACTCCTTGACTTCGGGTAATGCTCACGATGAGACAAGACGTACTGTATGGAAACAGTGTGACAAGTGAAGTCAAGTTTAAAACCGTAACATCCAAATCTATAGGTAAGATTGATGGTAAGAATAACTACGAAGAATCTAAATA